GCTTCAGCCAGTTTCACGAGAGCCACATCATTCTCCATGGTGGTGAAATCAAAACCTGAATTGAAGGTGCTGCTGGCAATTTTTACGACTTTAGCGCCATTGCTAACACCGACCACCAGTTTTGATACGTCGTAGAAGCTCAAACACTGTGCTGCGGTGGCAACGGTCTTTGAATCAATTAAGACACCGCCACAAACTTTTGAGCCGTCGGTACYCTGTAGCGASACGACATARGGATGTGCTGAAATTGTGGTGGCTACACCACCCTCAGCTCCATCAGCGTTGGTGTTAGAAACGCAGGCTGCGATCACTAGCAAGAAACTTGAAGTGAATAACTTGGTCATTATTGTATGAACTGTAGTTATCTTAATGGAGCTCTGCGATTAGTTCTTAATTTCTTGAATGTCGAAATTTCAACTATAAACTAATCGTTTTTTCTTGCCCTTATATACTCTCACAAAGGTGTTGCGCGCTTCTAAGTATTGTATATTTTGTCTGTTGTCTGCTGAAGAGCGTAAGAGAAACAGATATTTCTACAATGCATTATATAATTGTTTATTTTAATCGAATTTCACTATAACATATTAACCATAACAGGTTTAACCGGTTTCACGGGTTCTATATATCAATATGCCTTTCTTGACTTTCGACAGGAGGTRTATTAACCGTTGCAGGTACATATGTACCTGAAATTAGCTCTCGCTCATGTTCTTTAACAGTTATTTTATTTACATTTTTCCTGCATTATGTGTAAAAATAAATTTTCGTTTCATTAATAAACATTAGCAATTGTAGCCAAAGCAATTTGTATACATTTTTACATAGCTATAATAACTCAAAGCATTAGTTATGTCACTATTTAACCCGCATTAGTAAAGTAATTAATAGTAAAAATATTATAATYTTTTATAGGGAAACGATGGAGACCCTTTMATATATATTGGGTAATCKAAAAAGTYTTTTCGTTTTTTTTAATCAARCTTCAACTTAATTTTCTTTTTTTAATAATAAATAAATATGTATGAATATGTACCATTCTGTGTCGACCACTTTTTGCCATCTTTCCGCTAGTCAGTATTCCATCAGTGTAAAACTTTCATCAGTGTAAAGCGAAATTTCGAAAAGACTTTTTCAACTACCAAATATTTGTATCGAATAAGCCATGTCCGTGTGTTCGTCTATATATGTATGTATATCCGAACTATTACCTCAGTTTTGGATATATCGAAATTTTGCRCACGTTCTTTTCTCTCATGTGGTTGAACGATCGAAATCTTAAGTTTGTGTGGAAAGCTTTCCATTTGTCGAGATATCTTCAAGAAATTTTGCATGCATTATTTTCTAAGGCATTGATGTAATCTCTGAAGGAATTGTTTTTACCGAGCCAATATATCATAAGCCTACCATACAAACTAACCGATCAAAATGAAGTCATTGTGAGGAATATTTGGTACGTCAACCAAAGTTGACGTTACAGCTCAAAATAATTAATCAAAATATATAACATAAAGTTATTCAAAAGTACAGAAACCCGAATATTCGCTAAATGTCATAGCCGGCCATAGTTATTGCTTGCCGAAGTTTCATACCACAGTCAATGATATAAGAGTGGGGCGTATGAGTGACTTTTTGCATAAAGGGAGCAGATATAAAATAAATTAAGTGAGTTTAAGTAATATGGTTCATTGTCACATCTTGATTCCTGAATGACTAACAGTGGAATCGAAAATCACAAACTATTGTATTGATTGTCTCTGCCAGATAAAATGGTAGATAATAGAATGATTTAAGAAACCTCCTAAAAGTATGCTTAGCAAATTGTTAAATATACATAATTTTGTGCCATCTAGGAAAAAACGAGCTAGTTTCTACTAGAACACTTAGTTGTACGTTTTTAGCATGAAATCCGTTGTTAAAGGTTTGCACTCTGCAAACCACAAGAATTTTGTCAAAAATATTCGACTTCGTATCGCGGGTATTACTAACTCTCATTTCTTGATTGCCCAAAAAATGATATTTGATTTTAAACKGCGCGCGTCGAAGGATTTGGAGAATTTTTTTTAGGTTGGTAGTACTGTCAGTTACATTTATAACAAAATATTCATTAGTGTTTGAGATATGTGCCGTTTTGTGAGCTGCTAAAAGTGAGTTTTTCGTTTTTTGCGATGTCGAAATTTGTTGAGCAAAGAATTTGCATTAAATGATCATTTCGCCAAAAACTCAACCCATATCGTTCCGCGACCACCGTATTGACCTGATCTGGCGCCGTGCGACTTCTGGCTGTTCACCAAGCTCAAAAGACCGCTCCGGGTACACCGTTTTTRGACGATATTCAAGCCGCAGGGAAGACGRAACTGAAGGCCATACCGGAAAGTGACTACAACCAGTGGTTCGAAGATTGGAAAATCCGTTGGCATAATGTACTACATCTACTGGGGATTACTTTGAAGGGGATGAAATTGATTTRGAAGAATAAGTAAAGAATTTTCAAAATAAATACAATGTCACCTTATTTTTTGGGTACACTGATTACAATTTTACATTCGGTACAAACTCGATACCACATGGTAGAAGGGAAGGAAGCTAGAGCCAATTTTAAGGGGATTTTGTATCTAACAATCTGAGTCTCATTTCATTATAAGAATTGGACAAATCCGGTATAATGAAACGCTATTTCATTTCAATATCGATTTCATACAAATTTTATATAGTGAAATTCTTACCTATACGTCCACATGTATATACATTTGTGTATGTAGGGACTTCACAATTGTGTGAAAGTTCGTAGTCTAAACATGACTTAAACTTGAGATGCGGTTCAGATGCCAAATTATAAAAATTTTAATATAAATCCAACATTGATTAATGGAGTTAGGTACAAATACGACACAAATCGGATATAAAATTATAAAAGTTTTCAATAACTCGTCCATAGATTTTTGGAAAAACAAGCGCAAAAACCTTTTACGGTACAAATCAGGTATCAAATGGAAAATTTGTTCAATAACTTGTTCAAAGATTTTTGGAAAAATAAAGGCAATAAATTCAAACGGTACAAATAAGGTATCAAAYCATACAATTTTACAATAACTATTTCAAAGATTTGTGGAAAAATAAACGCMATAAATATTCATGATACAAACAAGGTTTCAAATCATGCAATTTTTCAATAACTCTTTCAGAGGTTTGTGGAAAATAAACGGAATAAATTTTCGTGATAAAATGAGGTATCAAGTTATACAATTTTTCAATAACTCATTTAGAGATTTATGAAAAAAATAAATATTTACGGTAAAAATCAGGTAACAAATTATACAAATTTTTCACCAGGCCGTTCGGATATTTTTTGGAAAAAATAAACGCAATAAATTTTTACGGTAAAAATCAGGTAGCAAATTATAAAATTTTTCAGAGATGTAAAAAAGCAATAATTTTTCATAATAAATACGTTTTTTAATAATAAAAATCGCAACCTACAGCTTTTTAATCATCTTTTTGATCCATTTACGTAGCTTATATACATTCGTGTAAACGGCTGGATTGCCTACATTGCCGCAACCATAACCCCAGGATACCAAACCGATCAATTTCTTCTTATACACCAAAGGACTACCCGGTTCACCATCGCAGATGTACCTATTATAGGCCTGAGCGCAAAACATGTTGTCTGTTATATCGTCTTCATCGTAAATATATTCCCCGGATCTGCACTTCTTTGCCTTAATTATACGCACGGTCACATCTTCCAATTGTCGACTTCGACTCCAACTGGTAACCACGCCACTTCTGTTCTTCTTCGGTTTTTCTCCAGCCACTTTTATCTCACTCTTTGCTGGTGATTTCGCTACACTTTTCGACAACTTCAATACGGCCACATCACTGTCCATGGTGGTAAAATCGAAATTCTCATTGATTATATAAGAACTAATTGATATGAGTTCGCCATCAGCAGCATAACTGCCCGTGCCAAGACGTACGTAAAGCTGGACGGGATCCTGAAAAACGAAGCATTGTGCAGCTGTGACGACAATATTCTCCTTGATTAGAGCACCGCCACAAACATGTGTGCCGTTGGCTAATTGCAGAGACACCACATATGGATGATCCGTAATAGTTGTCTTTACACCGCCAATAACTCCAATGGCATGTGATGAGTTGATTTGGTACGCGATCAAAAGCACCAAAAGGCGACAGCTGAAGGTTTTAAACATTTTCACTAGAGAAATTAGACCCTTTTCGTCGAACCGTTTAACGGAAAATGTGCCCAAAACTGTTGGGGCTGCTATAATATTTATAGAAAAAGCTCTTTGAAATATCATTTACTTATCCTAATAGCGGATATTATGCATAAGTTAAACAGGTGGCAAAATATTTACTAACCAAATAAAAAAATGTACCTTTCATAGGTTTTGCAGTATTCACAGACGCTGTTTAGTGCCAAGTCGAGCTGTAGGCAATGGTTCAACTACTAGCTCTAAAAGCTAACGTTAGACCATGTGATTTTATGTAGGTCAATGAAACGTTGCACTAAATTTTCAGCTCCCACAAGTAGTGTCAGTCAGCACTTGAACTGAACTGTTTTAAGGTTTTATAGCTGAAGAACGCCTAAAATATGGTTTTAAAATATAGTTTAGGCTAATCATCTGTCTAATCATCTGTTTTTGTCATTTTTATTTATTATCATTTCATCTATTGGAGTATATGCTTTTCAATACCCTCTTTCTTAACCTAGTGTATTGTGAAGCTGATTTCAGTTAGATAAAAATCCGTAAAATCCAATACCCAACAAGCGTCGTTGATCTCAAAATAGAAACTAGTTCGACGCGATCTCAAAAGCTGCTGGGAACTTCCCTTTCTATCTTATTTGATTTAATATCGCTTATGTACCGATTTTGTGGAAATTATGAAAAATAATATATACTGAGACTATATTTAAGGGAAAGTCGGCCTAAATTAATTGTGCTTAAGATACTGAAACCTCAAAGTTAATTCTTAATTTGGTTGCCAAAAATAAGCTGTTAGATTAACGTGGCGATATTCTCTCCATCGGTTAGKTACTTTATTTGAACAGTTGTCAAGAAAACATTATATTGACGCATAAAATATTCCGGTGACTTCAATTAAGAACTTGTTTTATGGTTTATATTCTTCTTCTTAATTGGCGTAGACACCGCTTACGCGATTATAGCCGAGTTAACAACAGCGCACCAGTCGTTTCTTCTTTTCGCTACGTGGCGCCAATTAGTTATTCCAAGCGTAGCCAGGTCCTTCTCCACCTGGTCCTTTCAACGGAGTGGAGGTCTTCCTCTTCCTCTGCTTCCCTCGGTGGGTACAGCGTCGAATACTTTCAGAGCTGGAGTGTTTTCGTCCATTCGAACAACATGACCTAGCCAGCGTAACCGGTGTCTTTTAATTCGCTGAACTTTGTCAATGTTGTCATATATCTCGTACAGCTCATCGTTTCATCGAATGCGATATTCGCCGTGGCCAACGCGCAAAGAACCATAAATCTTTCGCAGAACTTTTCTCTCGAAAGCTTGCAACATCGACTCATCAGTTGTAGTCATCGTCCAAGCTTCTGCATCGTATAGCAGGGCGGGAATTATGAGTGACTTATAGAGTTTGGTTTTTGTTTGTCGAGAGAGGACTTTGCTTCTCAATTGCCTACTCAGTCCAAAGTAGCACCTGTTGGCAAAAGTTATCCTGCGTTGGATTTCCWGGCTGACATTGTTGGTGGTGCTTACGCTGGTCCTAAGATAGACGAAATTATCTACGACTTCAAAGTTATGACTGTCAACAGTGACGTGAGAGCCAATTCGGGAGTGCAACGACTGTTTGTTTGATGACAGGAGATATTTCGTCTTGCCCTCGTCCACTGCCAGACCCATTTGTGTTCAGGCCGATAATATCAATATCATCGGCATACGCCAGCAGCTGWCTATTTAGTTCTGCAGCTCGAATTATTTTCTCCAGAAGGGAGTCGCCTTGTCTGAAACCTCGTTTGGTATCGAACGGCTCGGAGAGATCCTTCCCGATTCTGACGGAGCTTTTGGTGTTGCTCAACGTCAGTTTACATAGCCGTATTAATTTTGCGGGGATACCAAATTCAGACATCGCGGCATAAAGGCAACTCCTTTTCGTGCTGTCGGAAGCAGCTCTGAAATCGACGAAGAGGTGGTGAGTGTCGGGTCTTTTCCAAGATTCGGCGCATGGTGAATAAGTGGTCGGTTGTTGATTTTCCAGGTCTAAAGCCACACTGATAAGGTCCAATCAGTTTGTTTACGGTAGGCTTTAATCTTTCACACAATACGCTCGACAGAACCTTGTACGCGATGTTGAGGAGGCTTATACCGAGGTAATTGGCGCAGATTGTAGGGTCCCCTTTTTTGTGGATTGGGCAKAGCACACTTAAATTCCAATCGTTGGACATGCTTTCGTCCGACCATATTTTACAAAGAAGCTGATGCATGCTCTTTGTCAGTTCTTCGCCTTCGCGGTAATTGCTATTCGAACTTCTTCATGGTCGGGCAATGGAACGTCTGCTCCATCGTCATCAATTGGGGTATCGGGTTTGCCTTTGGGGGTTCTACAGGAGTATGCTCCRGTCTTGAAACCTTCTGTAAGCCGCCRCATTTTGTCGTAGAATTTTCGAGCATTACCCATGTCGGCCAGCTTTTCAAGCTCTTCGTACTCATGCATTTCGGCCTCTTTCTTTCTCTGTCTGAAAATGCGTCTCGCTTCCCTCTTCAACTCTCGGTATCTATCCCATCCCGCACGTGTTGTGGTCGATCGTAACGTTGCGAGGTAGGCAGCCTGTTTTCTCTCC